AGCAACACGAACAAATTTATAATTATCGTCCACTAAATAATAACGGTAAAAAACAAACACCACAACATCAGCAATCGCAATATGATTGTTATTACAGATCTTCATATCATCATCAAGATTTTTCAAATCAGCAAGAATTTCCGATTCATCATCCACCCGAATATAGTCAGGCAGAATATTCTTCTCGTCAAGAACAACAGCTTTAACATACTCGAAGAGAAGATGAAGAATTCTGGACAACCGCGCCGGAAAGATCAATCAACAATCTTTTTATACAGAATTCTTCGTCAGCGCATATTTACGAGAATGGTTTAACCACAACTAATGAATTGATTCCACTTTCATCTTCATCGGCACCGGATCCCGATTAAGACGTTAAAAGAGAGGTTAGGAAGGGAGGCTCGCGCTTTTGAGCAAAGTGCGAAATTCAAAGCAAATTTACTTGCAGAAACAAAGGAGCGATTGGCATCGATAGAAAATGAAAATGAAATGTTAAAAAGTCGATTGGAGACGACGAAGAAGGAAAATAAAAACTTGAAGAGGAAGTTGGAGGAAACGGAACGATTAGAAGAGGAGAATCAGTATTTGAAGAGGAGGTTGGTGGAATTGGAGAAGGGAAAAGAGTCCTCATCATTATGTTCATCTACACTTAAATCAGAAGATACCTATCAATATGGACAAGAAGAAAAGACGGAAATTAATGGAGGTGATTGAAGTTTTGAAAAATCATAATGAGCGAAAAGTTGATAATTTTGGATGAGAAAATACGGTTATATTAAGAGAAGAGCCAATTCCAGGAATCTCAAATCGATCAGCTAAGACAGCAATATTTAGCTGCTCCGGATTTGGAAAAATTCTGCGAAAAAAACGAATTGCTTGTTCGCGAAAAGAGGCTCATATCCGGGAACAAGAGCTTCTTAAGCAAGAACACAAAGAATTAAAGAGGATAAGTGCTCTCATTGTGTCCTCGTTGATATATCGAAGTTTGACTCTCTTATCTTCTTTACTTTCTTTAGATAGTAAACTTTCCTCCTTGAATTTGCTATTATCTTACTTGATCCATCAATCATTACTTTAGAATCTTTTGATGGTGACAGATCAATCTCTTTTTCTTTCTTTTTCTCTATTTTTATCTCAATCTTAATAAATATTTGTTGCAGTAATAGTAACTGACACTTGTTATCTATTGGTGCTTGTGTTGAGTTACTACTATTCACTTCTTGAGGTAGTAAGCTTTTCATCCTTGGATTTGATTCATCAATCATTACTTCAGAATATTTCAATGGTGATGGATCAATCTCTTTTCCCTTACCCTTTTCTTTCTTTTTTTCTATTTCTATCTCAATCGCCTTCATGTTAGTAATATTAGCTGCAGTGTTGTTATCCGCTGGTGTTTGTGTTGAGCTGCTACTATCCACCCACTTCTGTCTGCGTAGCGATCGAACGTTGTCTTGAGACACTTAACATGCGACATAAACTAATGAATTTCATCGTTGCCCCATTCCTTAATATCTTGGATTAGATGAGAGTAATTGACGAGGCCTATCATTATTATTATTATTGTTGTTGTTGTTGTTATTGTTGTTGTTATTAGTTTGATAAGGTATTGCATCGATATGCTGACAAATGTGTCTAATGGGTCCTTTCTCATCGCTGCTGAAGTTATTACCTTTTGCCGGAGTACTCGATCGTTCATTATCATTAACAAATGGTTAGCTTTGGCTAACACCATTAAACAACGCTTCATGAAAAGAAGCAGTGAACCAGGGCTTTCAGGTTGAATTGAAAGCCCTTGACTGCTGGTTCCTAATATGATATCCATGTCTTGGGAAACAGATTCTATAAGTAAAGACATTTTTGGAACCTTTATTCTTTGTTCAATATTTATTATTGTCGCCGCTGCTATATTGGTTTTATGTGCGAAATTTGTTTTCTTTAGAGTCAATTGAAATGTGCGTATTAAGGATAGGACAATAGTTTTTCAATTGCAATCACTGGCAATTTTCAGGTGACAATAGCAATTATCGTGTGTATATTTGATATTGCGAGCACCCACACACATACTTATCCAATTATACAAAAATACATCAGTTTTTCCAATAACATGTGTCGATACTACATTTTTCGCAGTGTGGTAAACCGTATCACCATCATTATCGTCACTATTATGTCATGGTTTCAAAAATAACTATATGATAGATGTGTTTGTAATTAACTTTTGACTGGCTTAAATGCATGGTAATCAGAATCATAAAGCTTTCCTGATTTACATTTTTTCCCCGCACAAAATCAACAATAAAAAAACATATATATAGAGATGAAAAGCATAATCAAGCCATTACAATTTGACAATTAATTAAATAAAAACGCATTTTTTACATTTGTTCCATATATCGGTACTGTATCGATACATATATTTTCTATCGAGCCCATGTTATATTGATTTTTGGTTACACAACAGACAAAAAACAACCGTCACTTATCGTTATCTAAAATACAAAGAGATTTATTATTATTATCGTCTATTACGCTCAGACAGAACCAATCAAGCGAAGATGTGAACTACTAAACCTAGTAGGAAGTAGTATCACAAAAAAATAAAAAACCACAGGTAGATCAACGACCTGGTTTTTTGTTGAGACCACAGAATTAACCAGTCCCTGGTAGTTTGTAGTGAATAACTACTTAATAATCGGTTCTGCTTTCCACAGACCTTATTACTCTTTCTCTTCGCCGTGCTTTCTCCCCCGTCGTTGTATATAGTGTTTTCATTTTTTAAATATATTTTTCCGTTGAACTGTCGGACGATCACCAAAATAGGTTTCTTTCAATATACCAGCTTTCACACAAGCGAAAATGGCACAACCTTATAGAATTCAGGACAGCGGAAGTGGTAAGCAAATTTTGCCACAAAGCATACAAGAAAACACTGGAGTGGCACGAAATCGTTTCAGTCGTAGAAGAGATAGAATTTCACGAACGACAAGTTCTAAAAATTCGGGTCGGGGTGACATAATTAGCTTCAGCGTTGAAGAAACGGGAGAAACGTCGATGAATAGTAATGAACCAGCATCTACGGTTGAGGAGGTAATTGAATCGAGTGACAATGAAAAGGAGAAAAATAATGAACAAATTCAACCTGAAAATTATACCCAAAATTTTGTTCAACCCATCTATATTGATATTGTGGATGATGGGGAAACATCGATGAATAATAGAGAATCAGCACCCTCTATTGAAGTAATTGAATTAAGTGACAGTGAAGATCAAGTTCAACCCGAAAATTCCAATAATACAACGTATCTATATTGATCTCGTGGATGACAATGAAGAGAATGAGGAAAATGTGAAATAGGAAGAGCTCGATTATGATACTATAGAGCCAAATATCATGGAAAATCAAGCAGAAATTCGCCGAAAAATTCATTTGTACGGCCAGATACGTCCTCAAACTGAAGAAGAACGCGAATATTCACCATCACCATGTGAAGGATTCACAATAGATTTGGATAAAGATTAGATTGTGATTTGCTCTAGATGCAATCATGGAATGGAGAATGGGATGTGTGTATTAAGAAAGAGTACTAGTATAATTAGAAAAGAAATCTTTTAAAAAGATTACTATTATTATAATAATAAGCTTTTTAATTATATTTTCCAAATAATTTAATCCAAAACTATTTATTTCAAGCTGGGATAGCAAATTCTTTTATACATTTTTTGAATATATAAATTACTATAGTATTACTATTTAATACTATCTAGATATATATATTTTTATAAAAAACTAATACTCTACTATTATAATATTAAAAATATCAAGATTATATTTACATGAATGTTTTTGTAGACATCTATGTGGATGTTTATATGGACATTTTTGTGGATATTTTTGTGAATATTTTTGTAGATATTTTACTGATCTTCAAAATATTGATATTCAAAATGTTATTATTTCACCAAAAATTAAAATGATCTTTCAATATATTATTTTACTATGTATATGAAAATCATATTATATGTAATCCAAAAATATAGATCTCAAATAAAAGAAAATAAGATATGATGTTTAAAAATAAAAGTGTAATAAAAATATAGTAATAAAAATAGATATATGATATAAAAATAGTGATAGTTATATGATAAATTATAAAATTATAGAAAATAAAATTTTGTATAATCAAGAAAAGATTATGAAATTAAGAAATTTTATATCACTATCATAACAGTATATTTTTAAAATTAATATCTTTTAGATTTCAGCTAGAAGTTTTAATAGAAATTCAAACTTCTTTGATGATAATTTCAATATTATTATTATCTTAAATCTCTTGTTCTCTAGGAATTGTAATATTCTAATCATCATATTATCATATAAGAAAGATTTTCTTTTTTACATGTTATTTCTCAAATTCACTTTTAGAATCTTCTTCTGATTTATCAAAAATAAAGTTTTCTCTATTATTATGAATAAATTTAATTAGTACTTTTCCTTTCTGAACATTATATTCAAAAGTGAGAAGTCCTTTTCTGATATCAATATTAACTTTGATTTTATTTAGAAAGTCAATTTTTACAATTACTGAATAGATTTTGGCTTTTATAATATTTATTTTAATTGGAATTACAATTCTATTAATATTTAAAAATAGATTATCAATAGCTCTAAGAAATTATTTTGATATTTTATTTATATTGGATATAGATATATTTAAACTATATTATATCTTTAATTTCATATCTTTGATAAAGTTATATATAATAATATATCCAAAAATATTAATATTAATAATTAGATCAATTATATTTTTTTTAACTTTGATTTTACATCAAGCAGATATGATTTTAAGTTTTTATTCAAGCATTACTCTTCTTTTATATTTAGATTTAAGTATTATAACTCAGTATATTTCTTTTAATAATTGAGTTCTTTAAGAAGAAGAAGTCTAAATAAGTTAAGCAATAATTATATTTATTTTCTGTTAAATTAAATCTTTTAGAATATTATAAGATTTAGTTATGATAATAAATATCTTTTTGTGAATAGTTTCTTATTAAGTTCTTCATCAAATATTTTAGATAATCTAGTATTATTTATATCTTAATCAAGAATAATTTTAGATATATCTTCTTCTTCTTCTTTAATTGTATTAAGTTCTTCATTTTTTTAATAACTTTTTTCTAAAATTAATCTATAAATTAGATTTCATAAGAAGTAGCTCTTGAATTTCTAGTTTTTTTATTAGTAGTCAAATATTTATGTATAACAAGTAGTGAATTTATATTATCTGATTTAGCAGTTAATATCTGAATATTATTTGTAAAAACTTATATTTATACTAGTAATGTAGTTTGATTATTATTTATATTTTGATTATTTTTAAAATTTGACTAGTTTGATAACATATTATTTTATTGCTAATTATTTCTATTTGATTTCTGATAATTATTTTCAAAGTTATTCTGATTATTTCTATGTAATTATAATTTAAAATAATTTGAGCTAATATAATCTGACTTATTATAATTATAATATATAGATATCAATTTAAAATTTTGGTTATTAGATTGATAATTAGAATTATTTTTATTATAGTTTGTTCTTTTATTAGTTTTAATATTTTCTATTTGTTGGTTAAGATCTTGATATACTATTAAAATAGTATTCAATATTAAGTTATCTTAAATTTGAAATTGATAACATTCTTAAGTTAGAATATTTACATTAGCTTTTTCTATATTCTTGGTAATTTATATCATATTAGAAAAGTTTTATCAATAAATATTTATATTTATTTTCTAATTTCTGATTTGTGATTTAAATATTTATATCTATTTTCTAATTTCTGATTTGTAATTATATCTGTAGATTCTGATTTTATATTCTTCTAGATATTTATTATTAGAATCTACTTTATAAAGTAGATTAATAAATTTATCTGTATATTCATTTATAATATCAATCTATTATAGAATTTTAATTTTATCTTGCTATTAATTTATTCTTTCTCTAATTTGAAAATGTATAATAAATTGATAATAAAAATTATATAACTAGTTATTATTATTATTTTAGACTGTTAATCAAGTAGTATTATTTCTATTTTTTTATTATATTACAAGGTAATATCATCATCTAGATATTCTTTAATAAGTTATACTTTTTTGATAGTTATTATTTTATTAACTTAAGTGATAATATTAAAATCTTTAAGCTATTTAGTTAGATCTTAATTATTTTTTTATATTTTCTAATAAAAATGATAATTTTCTTTATAAACTAGTTATTTTGTTTAGCTATTTAATTAGTGAGAGTTTCAAGAGTTATAATTAAGCCATTTAAATTATTATTATTATTAATTATTTAATTATTATTTTCTTTTTTTGTTATTTAATTACTTTCTTCTAAGTCAAAATATAGTTTTTTTGCTGAATCTATATAATTATTATCTTTTTCTAATACTAGATTTAATATAATTTATATAAAGAAAGTTGATAAGTCTTCTGAGTTTCTGATTTTGAAATAATATCTATCAAGATTACTAGTATTAAAAAGAATTCTTGATTATATTTGTAAAATAAAGTTTTGATAAATAAATTATTAGTAAAATTATTTAATTAAATAGTATTTATCTTATTAAGATCAAGTTGAATTAATTTATTAAATAATAAATATATAATTTAATTTATAGATATTACTTTAATATTTTTAGTGAGCAAATAAAAAGTTTAAAATTATAAAAAAAATTCAGATTGAAGAAAATAATAATAGAGATAAAAGTATTAAACAGATATTTTAATAGTAAAATTAGGATCTTAATGTATTTTTAAATTAGAGATAGAAATTGATTCTCTAGAATTAATTAATTTAGAATTAATTCTGAGAATTGATTAATTTTATAAAATTGATTAAAATTTGAGAATTGATTAAAATTTTAATTGATTAAAATTTGAGAATCAATTAAAATTTAAGAATCAATTAAAATTTTAATTAATTAAAATTTGAGAATTAATTAATATTTTAATTAATTAAAATTTGATATTTTTTAATTGATTCTTAAATTTTAATCAATTCTCAAATTTTAATTGATTCTTAAATTTTAATAATTAATTATATATAAATAGTATAACAAAATTATTAAAAAGAATAAACTAATAAGAAAATCTCCTTGTAAAAAATATAACAGATATTACAACTCACTTTTGTACATGACAATCTACTTTATCATTTAGCAATAATATTAATAATACTCTAATCTGATAATAATCAAGAAACTATTTCCAATACAGAGTTTAATAACTCTAATAGTGATAATAATGTTAATATTGATCCAAACTTGAATGATATTTATAAAATAATAGAAAATA